AAGGGACTACTGGTGCACTTAGTGAGTGTATATATTTGTCGTATATAGAAGTCGCCATGACTGTACGAATAATAGTAGAGCAGGTTTGAATAGTTTCTTTTTACAGGTTTTGTAGTTTATAATTTATCTTTGTAAAAATTAATACATCGTAATATTAAGGTAATTTGTTCAAGAAATTTGAAGAAACTAATTTGAATTTACTTTGCTATTTAAACAGTATTTTACAGTTTATCTTAAGCTACTCAAAATAATATCTTATTCATATCAAAGAACATTTAAATTCAAAGTCTAAAGGATGTTTTCAGAGAGTTTGTCAAAGGATCCAACATGAAAAGGCCCTTTACAAAGGGAATGGGACACGTCCTATGGGCAGTCAACGGCTGCTAACAATACAATGCTAAACAGTATTCCTTCGGTTCGTTTTAAAAGGTTGTTTTGAATATCTTAATAAGGTCTCTAATAGTAATATGTTTCCTTTTAACGATTCTATTTCTTAAAAAAGAAAAGTATTAAAGAATTAGGTTGTTATCTGTCTGTGTCTGTGTTTCTGGAAGCCCTTTTTCTCAGAAGTAAAGTTTGACGTAGCTTTCATAATTTTCACTTTTTTGTACACAATAAAATATATCTTTTTCTTTCTTTTACATATAAACATAAGGTATTTTAAATATGACATGCTTCTGTGTGCCACATTTGTACTAAAAGGGGTGCAAAGAATTTTATCAATTGGGTTTTAATTAAAAAAGTTGCAGTCTGGCAGTATAATTTTTATTTTTTTACTTTTCCATGTTCGAATGTTGAATGTTTTTCGCCGAAATAGAATCGCATTCATGTCACGTGCGACGCGCCAATCACAGGCGATTGTTTGAATATGAAAAACTGAATATTCTCTAACTAATATTAATTGCACGTGGTATTTATAACTTGAAGTACTTTCTTATTCATTCATTTACATATTGTTTTAAATTGTTTTTATCTAAAAATACGAAATAAACTAGACAAGACACTAAATATCTAACACAATAAATTAGTGAAGTTTATTGCAAAGTAGGGAGCATTTATGACTTTTTTACGAGATCGGCTAAACAATGTTTCGGGCAACGCTGTTTTATGGTCTTTTAAAATACTTTTTTTTATTTTTTAATGGCAATAACCGACACTAAGAAATAAAGTGTTACTGAACATTATAAGGGTTTTCCAAATTCAAAAAGTATTGTATCTACTTTAGAAATAACAATGAAAGGAAAAGTTTAAATACTAAATTTGTAAGAAAACTAGTGTTGCCATATCTCTATGGCCGACTTCAAAAAAGGAGGCGGTGCCTAATTTGGTTCTACTTTTCATGTTTGTTAACTCAAGTTATCGGCTGCGGTATTTCCGGACCGATACGACCTTCAAACCTTCAAGAAAAGAGCATACTCCTTCCTCAAAGGCTGGCAACGCGTTTGTGACTCTTGGCAAGGCGGCGGTAGTCGCTTTCCATCAGATGACCCGTCTGCTCGTTTGCCCCCTATTAAAAAAAAAAACGCTCAGAACTCTGTAATTTATGGACGTATTTTAAAAATTTCGTTTCTATTTGGGAGAGTATACTCTACGAATGGTGTGAAGGATTAAATAACACGTCTAGGAGTGAAAAATTAAGGAATAAAGAATACAGTACATTGACGAAAATCATCATAATGTAAGCGTTTTCAAGTCGGTTTTTTTTTTAAAGTTCTTTATAAATACGAGTACTTGTGACATCAAGTTATCGATATTTTTTCGTATTTATTCTTCTTTGTCTCTGTCCAAATCTCTTGCGGTAGATAATAGTAAGCCAGCGCAGCCATTTCGACTTGAATATTCAAGATTGCTCGAATTGCAACTGTTTCAAGACTGTCGACTCGACTTCGAGAGACAGTTCAACGTGTGGTTCAAACACAAGCGGCAGCTATAGAAGAATTTTTAAATCTTTGAAACAGAATTTCATCTATCAAATAATTTCGACTTGTACTTACGCAGCATAAAGTCAGCGCCGATTCTAAGATGTTAAGATCACACCTAGTGATGGCTGAAAAAGTTCTAAGCATTTTCCGAAAACAAAACTGTGAGTAAATACGGTATCATGTATGTATGTGTGTACGGTACAATTTAAATGTATGTATCCGTTTTCTAGAACCAATTGCATAAAATATTTTTTTTAACCTCGACGCAATAAGAGGGATATTATAAGTTTTTGTTTGGTGCATTGTAGTTCCGAAACGAATAGATTTGATACTCATTTGTTTCAAAGACGAGACGGTCCTTAGCTATAATTTATCAAGATCTGTTTAGTTGACAGTTGACAAAAGAGTCTTACGAACTTGGATAGATTTGATTGATTTAAGATGTGGTGTACTGTTACTTCGGTGTTATTTCCAAGTAATTCTAACCTTGAGCTGACGCTGTACCATCATTCTGCGGACTATTAAATTCCTCAGAAACTTACAGCAGATATGCAGATATGCTGCAGCGTCTTTGAGCTCATAACAATAGTCTCAATGTGAGGTGGTTAGATAGATGATGATCGAGAATCTTTTGGGCAGATCAACAAAGTTGAGCCCTTACTTGGTTGCTTATTCTGCAATACTCTATAATTTTTTTGTTTTCAAAAATTCACAAAAATGGCAGGCAAATACTCATATACTGAAAATACTCTACTAACATGCGAATATGGCGATTTTGAATAGCCGTTTGGTACGTGTGTAAAAAAAATCATACATGTGGCTATAAAATTATTTTTGGAAATAATCCCAAAAATAAATTAACATGTCCAATTTTTATGGTTTTATTTTTCAGATGCTATTTACATAATAACCTGTACTAGCCTTTGATCGGCAGAGCGTCGTACGGGCTTTGTTAGGTCCGGGCGCAGTGTGGGTCCTACGCGACTGAACGCACCGCTACCCTCATATCGCCCTATTGTAAGGATACCCGGTTCCACTTGCAATTCTTCAACTTAATATTTGCAAGGCTATAAACTGCTTGAAAGTTTGTCAGGATGTATAAATTGTTGTTCATTTCTCAATAACGAGGGAAAGCAAATTAGAGTTGGTAAAATGTGAGTATTAAATTCATCCCGTGGGTGTCGCAGACTAAGGGAGCAAACTTAGCAGGATAACCGCGCTGCAAAAAGAAGGAGGAGGAACCTTGGACTATCCGTCTGGCCAGCGTGGTATGGTTAGCCAAAACCTCCTTGCTTATATCCAGCAGTGGACTACTAAAGGCTGTTGATGATGGTAATGATGAATGTTAAATACGCCTGAGTGAATGTGGTAAAGGCGTGAATCTGATTGTACGGATAACGTAGTGGTTTAAACGGTCACCTCGCTGATTTCTACTTCACTGAGTGTTGTCCGTTCAATCCCCGCATGGGACAACACTTGTGTGATGCACAAATTGTTGTTCCAAGACTGGGTGTTCTTTGTGTCAGTTACATTAGAGTGTTCCGCGACACAGGATATATTTCTAGTGCGGGAGATGTTTTTTAAAAAAAGGAAAAGAAGACAGAATGTATGCACAAGAGATATTGATACAAATGGCGAAATATAAACCAAACCAAACAGAATAAGGACAACTTGTTCTTATGTTGCGAACTAGGTCGATAGTTCCAAACGGCCCGCCCTGGCGTGTCAGCACTTGATAGATTTGCATTCCTCGCTGCGGGCTATGGCAATCCTTCTTGTCATCTATCAACGTACTTTCTGTAAACAAGGATGTACATATATAAAAATTTAGCAAAATTTTACGCAGCATTTCGCTGGATATAGGAAAAGTGTAGAATGCTAAAATTAAGCTACAATGTTCAGTATTGAAGTTGGTCGATCTTGGTATAGGTAGTCTATACAATGACAGTTCAAATAATGCCGTAATCTACCGTGGGAGAGCCATGCTTCGACACGAATGGGCCGGCTCGACCGGAGTGATACCACACACACTCACAGAAAACCGGTGTTAAACAATTCTTTCGTTGCCTTTCACTGAGTGAGTGAGGTTACCGGAGCCCAAATCTCCCCTCCCGCTGACTCGAGCGGGAGGGACTTCAAGGACAGCAACGCACTTGTGACTTTTGTGTTGGAGGTGTCCATGGGTAGTTGCTTACCATCAGGTGACCCGTCTACTGGTTTGCCCCCTTATACCATTAAAAAAAACTGGGAAGTAATAGTTTGATTAGTGTTAAAGTCACAAGTTCTAGTACTTATCTATGAGACATTCAAGCATGAACGTTTTATTTCCATTATGCACAATATAATTCAGTACTTTGCCCCACCAATACTAAAACAACTAAGAATATCATCTATACAAAAATCTAAAATATCAACTAATATTATAAATAAGTAAGTAAGTTTGTATGTTTGTAACGCTTTTCATGTCTTATCTACTCAACTGAATTTCATGAAATTTTTCATACGGATTGTCAGACTACCAGAAAAAACATAGGACGATGCAGAAGTACATAATGTGCAATCATCGAGATTACACATACATGTTTCTTTCCTTGCACATCGTCAGCTAATTATTTTGTCATGTGTACATACCTGTTATCACGATAAAAAGAACTATTTCCAAGAATAGAAAAATATTTGTAACGTGGGCAAGACTGTGGGCTAGTTCGTCTCTGATATTTTTCTACTCTTTGAGCTCCAATCCAAATGTTTTAACATATTTTAGTATAAGAGCTGTAAAGCTATATAACCAAAGAGACTTAATTTGGTAGTTATCTACGTTTAGAATATTTTTGTTCTAAAAAAGGATAGTTTAAAAGCAGTAATGCGCATCACGTACACAGATTATAAATCCATTAACGTCACGGTCGGCTTGTCGTTATGACAACTGCATTGTTGATGTAATCTGACCTTCATCTATGATAGAAGCTAATCTGTATTTGTTTGTGTGTGCAGGCAAGTGGTCGCTGAGTCGGCGCGTGAGCCGGGGCGGCGCGGGCGGTGCGGTCGGTGCGGGCGGTGGCTCGCCCAGTTGACAGCATGCTAAACGCATCCAACGACACCAACCTCACCGATCTGGCGTCCAGCTCCGACCTCCCTACAAGCCCCTTCAGCGTCGTACAGAAGGTCGTCATCGTCATCATCGCCGTCGTTCTATCACTTTCTACAGTCGTCGGCAACTCCATGGTCATGATAAGCTTCAAGATTGACAAGCAATTGCAGACAATCAGCAACTATTTCCTTTTCTCCCTGGCGGTTGCGGATTTCGCCGTAGGACTGATATCGATGCCCTTGTACACAATGTTCACTGTTTACGGCTATTGGCCACTGGGGCCGTACATCTGCGATACTTGGCTGGCGCTCGACTACCTCGCGTCGAACGCATCGGTATTGAATCTGCTCATCATAAGTTTTGATAGGTACTTCAGTGTGACGCGCCCATTGACTTATCGTGCTAAAAGGACTACACGTCGCGCAACCTTTATGATAGGGGCTGCGTGGGGATTCAGTCTGTTGCTGTGGCCGCCGTGGATTTATGCATGGCCGTACATTGACGGAGAACGAAAAGTGAGACCATACGAGTGTTATATTCAGTTCATAGAGACCAATCAGTTTATTACGTTCGGGACAGCGATAGCAGCGTTTTATGTGCCAGTGACTGTTATGTGTATACTGTACTATAGGATATGGAGAGAGACTAAAAAAAGGCAAAAAGATTTGCCTAACTTACAAGGTGGGAAGAAACACGACTCGTCCAAGAGATCGAACTCTAGGTAAGTCATGTTCACTCATCATTTTACCATTTAAATAATAGGTATGATAAATGCGTTAAAACTATCGGTGAACGATAAATCGAGCCCGTTTTAGTTGTCATCATTTTCATATGGCTCAATGATCTTATTACCTGTCCCTTGTCAGCTTGGCACTTACTTCCGTTATTCATCATAATCATTAACAGCCTTTAATAGTCCACTGCTGGACATAGGCCTCTCCTTAGAAAAGAGGTTATGGCGTACTATACCACGTTGGTCAGACAGTTTGGTTTAGGGTTTGTTGCAAGTTTTCCTTCTTTTTGCAGTCCTGAGTAGTTAGCTGCAGTAGAATAGGTGGTGACACTCCGTATTCTTAATTCGTCACCACACGGACAGCTCTTCTTCCAGAACTTCTGTTTCTATTTTCTAAGTCTAGCATTACTTGAGTTTTCTCCTACTATGCACACATTTGTATTAGACTCGTATTTGTATTCTCTATCTTTAAAATAAAAGATCACAATAATTAAAAGTCTAAAAGTTTGAATTTATATTCATTTTAAATCAAAATAATTTAAAGTTAGCCGCAATCGCTGAGGTTACAGAGTAAAATTAAAAAAAACCCTACTGGTTCGAACTTCAGCTATCGAGGCTAGAGGATATTAAAAAGCTTGAATGTCAGAAGTTATTACAGAGTGAATTACCAAAGATAAAATAAAAATATTCTATGGTCGGATTAAATTTAATCATTTTTGGTGGCATAGACATTACAAAGGCCTGTCAAGGAAAAAATATTCGGTTATTAGGTTAATGGAATCCCTATTTGGATGAGTGAAGTTGATTAATCGTTAATTTTGGGCTCCTACATTTATGAGTAACAGGAAAATGTTAGGAGAAAATCAAGCCAGGGACTCTAGTCTTCTAAAAAAATGGGGCAGCAGTGATAGAGGAGTTTAATCCTTGATACTATAACCACGGAGTAGACATGGCAATTTGTGCTGCTTTTAAATCATATTCACTTGATGAAAAGATTGTTTTCAGTCATAGCGATTTCACATGTGATTGTGATTTCATCATAGACAAAGATAAATGGCATTAAAGTCATTGGGTGTTTCGCGAGGCTAGCGTAATAATAATAATGAAGTAGCAATGGTTTGATAAATCAGTCACAGATGATCCGATTCACAAACCATATGATTAACCACTTGTGATTGTGATATCATTTCATCCGTATATCAAATATAATTATAGTTAAACCGCCGTAAGCTTGGCCCTCCTGATGGTTTGCGGGACGCGGGGCGGGTGATTCGCTCGGCTATACATGACACGATGTATTAACTCGATATCTTCAGATTTATTTGTTTGAGGTTTAATCTACACACGATGTAATAAAAATCGAATTTATTTCCATGTATTATAATGTCAGTGTATTGTAAGTTTTTATGATTAATTGTAAAATTTAATACTGTAAAATAATTTTAATAAAATCACCTTATCTTCATCATGTAAATTATATTCAGATACAATTTGAAAATTAAGTAAAATAATAAATATTATTTATTAGAACTTTAACAGTAGAACCTCTGTAAGCCGAACTTCAAGTTTTTAAATCTTTTTGTGACGCAGAGTCGGCAGATTATCCATGTTGCAAAATAATACCGTGTGTAGCAGTCTTAAGAAAAATAACACGTACAGCCATACTTTCACGTCAGTCACTGCCGGCGGACAGCGACGCACTAGCTAATTGGTTGAATGCACCCCCGCCCCGCGTCCCCCAAACCATCAGGAGGGCCAAGCTTACGGCGGTTTAACTATAATATATTTTATTGACGACCGATTGGCGTAGTGGTTTGTGTAACGGACTGTTACACAAACCACTACACTATCCGGTCGTAATTAATGAAATATACATATATAACGGTTCGCTACATACATAAACTTATACATACACATGTACATATGTACAACACAACACATCATAAATACACACATATATTGACTGCACGGATGGCGTAGTGTAAGCGGTGGCCACGCCGCTTCCTGCTACGCTTATTCGATCCCCACATAGGACGACATTTTGTGTAATCCACAAATTGTTGTTCTGAGTCTGGGTGCTCTTTGTGTCCGTTTCATTTATGTTTGTAAAGTCTCCCACGACACAGGATATATTCTTAGTGCGGGAGTTGTCTTTTATAAGAAAGAATAAAATCAATCATACATACAAATATATTCAATTTAAATTTATTTATTCATTTCATATCCATTTTATATAAGAAAAAGAATTACTATAGAACAAGGTAAAAGGATGTGATGACAAATACATAACAAAACGGTTATGTTAATACATCACATTTTAGGCACACAAATTTAGGAAGTACCTGTCTAGGTAATAGGTATTAACAGCCTCTAGTGGAAAAGCCTTCACATGTACTTGGATAGTGAAGCATATGTCTTAACTTCTGAAACTTGGTACAGTGTTGGACTGACAGTGGGAATTGTAAGCCACAAATATGACTGCCTTGGTGGTGCAGTGGTAGCATATGCGACTGCTGTGCTGAGGTCTCCGGTTTGATTAAAGGGTCAGACTAAATGTTTGTGTGATCTGCAAATAATTGTTACAGTTTGGGTGTTTTCTATGTGTAATATATATGTATTTAGTATATAAGTATTCTATCAGTCTAGCTTTCATTCAGACTTGTACGTTGCCGCCTTCTGCCAAGCCTTCCTATAGATTATTGGGGGAAGAAAGAGTTTCGGTGTAAAGCACCGAAAGAATCCCTAACAGCGGTTTTCAGCGAGGCCGTGCTATTACCCAGGTCGAGCTGGCCCATTCGTGCCAAAGTGTAGCTCTTTTACGGCAGAATCTATCTGTCAGTATATCATTTCAAGTACGTCCGCCACCTCACAGGGGCCTTGCTTTTAATCATTCGTTTTTTATTCAATCATCACGCCCAAACCATCGCATCAAATTTCAGGCAGCACAATACATAATTGTATTAAGAAACTTACGTAGGTATTCATTTTAGGGTTGGTTGTTTCGTGTTTATCCGGTTTAAATTGGTTTACTCGTACATAATACTTGAAGGCTCTTTAAAACAAAAACATGAACTCGTAAGTCCCTTAACCGCTTACGTAACTTTCAGTGTATGTATTTTAAAAGACTACGTAGCTATCACGTATTACGTAGTGAATAGGCTGGGCTCACTTGAGTTGTGATGCATTCATCTTTTGACAAAGGAAAAATACTAGGTCTGGAAAAATTCTATACAGGGAGCAATGATCTAGACGTTGGTAGATGGCTATGATGTCCCTACTGAATATTTTGTGTGTTTGTAAAGCTTTGCGTTACTTTGAATTTTAGAACGATCAATCTTATTTATTTTTTGTTTATTGTACATACATATATATAAGTAACAAGGAAATGTCATGTACAAAGGCGAGCTTCACCCAAAACTGAGTTTTCATCCATCAAACCTTGAGCGCATCGTTATCTAATATTAAATTTATCTAAAAATTTGATTTAAAAACAAGACATCATTGACTCTTAGATAGTCTAAAGTCTGCAATTATTTTTAAAAGGTAGATTGTTTATTCACAGGGATTTCCCTTGTACGTTACGCCTGTAAGACCTGATATTAATAATGTGAATATTTTTTAATTTTTAAAGTAATGTGGCTTCATATTATTATCTATTAAATTACCTAACAACTATTGTTAGTTATTACAATGAATAAAATAAAATATGAAGTGGTTCACTAAAATAAGAACCGATGCTTCTAGTCTCTATATTTATAAGATAGATAGCCTTTTACTTAAAAAAAAATCCACATTTTAAAACTTTTTAGAGTAAGAGAGAGAGAATTTCCTTGGTATCTGATAAAGGTATCCTTAAACTTACACATCTCGCCAATTTTCTGTATACATTATAAAAGTAGGTCACCGTTAAATCGAATAACCGGCCTTGTAAAAGAAACGCCGCGGGGTAAGTTAGGGTTACCAAGGATCGTATTTCGGAAAGTTTATCGAATTTTGAAATGTTTTTAGTAGGACACTTTTATTTTAGAGCGGGAAATTTGGAAATAACACTTCACATTGTTACTGACATTAGTTTTATATTTCAAATTACAATAAAAAATAAAAAAAAATAATTAAATAAATATAAATAAAAATAAAAATAAAATAATTAAAAATAATTTAAATAATTATAAATAATTTAAATATTTAAATATTAAATATTCAATTGTTGTCATATGAGTCATATGAGATTTTTATTTTATTTCAGAAAATTATAAATGAAATGCTTTACTGTTTTTAAATTTATGAGTTCCAGTTGTCGGACCAATCGCTATCCATTCTAATATTATAAACCAGCTGGTACCTGCGACTTCGTTCGCGTGGAATTTATAGAGCGCTGCTTTAGTGGGTTCGATTCCCGGACCGGGCAAAATTTTAAAAGGTTTTTCTGAGAAGAAAAATAGCCTAAGTTAATCCTTATATACTTACAGCTACCTGGTAGTAAAATATAAATCGGTCGAGACATAAAGAAGATTACCCGGAACAAATAGACAGACAGACGGAAAAAATTTAAACTGGTTTTTAGGCATATGTATCGTGCAAATAACCGTGTGAGCATGGAAAAACCTATTATTTTGACATTACACACAGACACTTCAATTTTATTTATTTGTGTAATTGTGAAAGTGTGTCTGTCTCTCTGTCTGTCTGTTACCTCTTCGTGCTTTAACCGCTAAACCAATTTATATGAAATTTGGTATAGAGATAGTTTGAGTCCCAGGAAAGGACATATGATAGTTTTCATCCCAGAAATCACCCTTTAAGGGGGTGAAAAGCGGGGTAGAAGATTTTATGGAATCAATAATCACTGAACCATTTCAGATGAAATTGAAATTTGCTATAGAGACAGTTTGAGTTGTGGGAAAGGATACAGTTCTTATTACCTAGATCATCCCTGAAAGTTGTAAAAAGGAGGGTAGAAATTTGTAGAAGGAATCAATAAAAAAGGACTTC